TGGAAAATGCAGTCTTTTTTTTTTTGGTGCCGTTGGTGAGGAGGATTTGCCAATACCCCTAGTCAGGTCCAAGGTGGATATGAATCAGACCTAACCTCTGAGAACCCCACCTTCTCAGAGGTTGGAGGGAGAAGAACCAGTCCACACAGATAGTCTTTTTGTTGGTTTTTACTTGAAGGTATAAACAGAACAAAGTATACGTTTCGGTCACCCCCGAGTGGGATGACGGCACAGTTCTTGATGGTTGCATAGGGTTACAATTTAGAGAGAGAGAGGTACATCAGCCCAGGTGCAGCCCAGAGTCCACGACTTACTTCGCCAGAGGCCCACTGGTTGGAGAACTGTGGGGGAAAACACTGACCCCATAGTTCTCCTTTAAGTATAAGGCCTCATTCACACAGCGTACAGTCGGACCGGACAGATCCGTGGGGCGTGCATGGCCGTATAGGGCCACTCCCGGGAGGGACAGGTGCTGCGTGTGATTGTACGCAGCAGCCTGTTCTTTTCTATGGGAGGACACGGCCGTACGTTCATTCACCCGAGCTGCACATCTGTGCAGGTGTCCGTACTTGGACGCAAACAGGATGGATCCTGTCTGCGCCCAAGCACGGACACCCACACGGATGTGCAGCTCGGGTGAGCGTATGAGAGCGTATGGACGTGTCCTCCCATAGGGAAGGACAGGCTGCTGCGCACAATCACACACAGCACCTGTCCCTCCCGGGAGCGGCCTTATACGGCTGTGCATGCCGCATGGATCTGTATGGCCCGACTGTACACTGTATGAATCAGGCCAAAAGCACGCATGCAGAACCATGCAAGTGCACAGTAGTATCAACCACAAATAGCTTTGAATCTATTCCTGTCCTATATATATATTTTAGGGCAGGAATAAATTGAAAGCTATTTGTGGATCAAGATATTGCAGTGCATTTGTGGGGGCCTGTGTGTGTGCTGGTATGAGGTCTAATGTTCGAGGGGTGAGCAGTATGCAAATGGAATGTGGCACATACATTACTATTGCATGGTGATCCTCCGGCTCTGTGCACTGTGCTCTGACTAATGATGGGCAGTATGGTGACAAAATAAGGCGGGGAACAGAAGATCCTCTCAGTCTCCACCTTCGGTCCTGCTTGCTGCAGGACCTCGAGCAGACCGTTGAGGGCCTCCTCAGCGCGGCTCCGCGCACGGACGTCATCTGGTCACGTCAGGGAGGTGGGTGGGACTTCAATCTGACAGCCGGCTCGAGCGAGCTGTTAAATGCAAACAAAAAAAATAGTTTGCGTGCCAGCAGATGTGGCCTTGCGTGCCAAGCTGGGCACGCGTGCCGGGGGTTGCCGACCCCTGTCTTATATCAATGAGTGCTGTATTCAATTGATACCATAGAAGTAACTTGCTCATCTTGTTGTATGTGACTTAACATATCAAACACTATCCTGCCTCACTCAATACTGCTCCCATATATTCCACCATACACAGATATATGTGCTATTAACATATTGAACTGCCTAATTGGGAATCATAGCAAACGTATAGCAGAGACCTGAATCTTTCTTTTGTTCTACATATATTTCTTAAGTGTAGTCAGAGTAGTACTAGGAGGCGGTACTATGATGCACTGAGATTGTTTGGCCAGTATTTACTTGCCATCACGTACTCCTGGGCCTGAGCACGTGAGATTAAACGTGACTCCGCAGCTGAGTTCTGTCCTCCATATCATTAGCATATTACACAGTACTGATAGAGGATTTTTGTCTTCAGGCTTTCTTCAGGCTTTTGCAATCTGCTGCCACTTTTGGGGCCTGGTTTAAGTATGCTCACTGATCATCTCTAGAAAGAAAAGATGCCACCATTCCCTGCAATTCTCTTAAAAGTTTGAAGAAGGCCTCTAAATCATAATATCTCATGTAGAGATTAATAGTTACTTCCACTAGTGGTCATCTATATCAAGATCCATTTAGCATCCCTGCTAAACAACTAATGAGAAAGCCATCTAGTCAGTCAACTGTTTTCAAACAGCTGCAGAAACCTGATAGACTTGCAGTGACCACATTCATTGTGCCAATACCCAGCAAGAAGCAGAGTTTGATCAAAAGAAACAAAGCGCTAAAGGTAGCTGTATGAGCAAAAGAATATGCTATAATTGATTCTGGCGAGGTCAGTATGGAAGCTAATATATAAGTATAAAACAGGACTAGCTTCATAAACAAGTATAGATAAAACCATCTAACCAAAATACAAAAATCAATTAGAACCACTAAAATTCATTCCAATGCAATAAATAAACGAACAATGTTTAAAACGTCAAAATCAGTGTCCAATGCTTAAAAAATCCAAGTGAAAGGTGGTTTCCATGTGCAAATAAAAATTTGCAAAAATAGCAGTGTACTTGAGATTAATCCAAACTGTCCCTCTCGGGTAACAGGTGAACGGTAAGTTCCGTGTGCAAATGTACAAATGTGCAAAAACAGCAATGTGCTTCGGATTGTTCCGGACTGTCCCTCTCGGGTGGGTACTCACCAGAGTGAAGTTGGTAGAAAACTTTTAGTGAGTGGTGCCGGGATTAGGTTTTAGCACAGACGTATTCCCCGCGGGTCTCAGCAGCTGATGCAGTTGATTTTCTCCTCTAAGCCGTTTGGCTATATCTCCCAGATGAGGAGTCCGGTTTTTTTGGAATAAAAATATACTTTGCCGTTTGTCCCGCAGGGTTTTTCAGAGATAAATAAAAGAGAAAGAAAGAACAGACAAGGTCCAGATCAGGTTGGGTCTTCTCCTCACCAAGTTAAGTTTTGGTCACCGATCCTCAGGAAAGATGTCCTCGAACTCTATATTTTACAGTCAAGGTTGCACAATCTTCTTCTGGCTGCATTCAATTATAAATGTATTTAAAGGTTAAAACATCCATTCAGTCCTGGCTTCAGTTTCACATAATGGGATTCAGAGGTGCTGTCATTCCATTAAACATTGACTTCAAACCAGCAAACAACTTTAAAACTCGATCCGCCTTATAGCAAGTGGAGATTTCCTTAAAAACATTCCCAGCTTGACACAGCAAAGTTAGCAAACTGGTTCCAATGAAACTTCTGCCTGTGCTGTTGTGAGGGCCCCTCCCTCACTCTCAGCCTGCATTACACACAACTGAAAAGTTTGTTCACATTCAAGAAGCAGAGTTTGCATTTGTACTAAGCAAATAGGGCAGCTCCTACAATCTATGCATCGAGAAAATGTTTTTAGAAAACCAGAATTCATCGATAAGATAATTGACTTAAGCTGATTGCTTTTTATGTTTCTTTTTTAATGGACAGTCCACTCAAAACTGATATTTTAGTGTTTGGTAGATGTTGGAGTGTTAAACAACTGTACAGTTTCTTCCATTTCTCAATTGGTGATATCTCTGCACTGAGTTCCTTGGTCTGCCCACCTGCTATGCTCACTATGAATGTTTCCCACTCTACCTGTTTGAGTTTTAGTTTTATTTAATGTTATGGAGAAGGTAAAAGTTAGGAACTGTGGCAAAGAGAACTCACTATAACAGTATCCAAGACAGAGGAAGTCAAGGACTAACTCAACCCTACAGGATCCACTGATGAGTAAAATGCCACTTTTGGGTAGACAAACTCCTTTCAAAATGGGGCTTTCTATCCATCTATCCATCTATCTATCTATCTATCTAAGTATCTCTTTCTGAAAGAAAAAAAAATGTTGCAATGGATTGCTTTGCTTTCATTATACTGTGTATTGTGGTATAATTACAGATATATTCAGAAGGGATCAATGGGCTCCTTTGAGAGTTTGCATAGCTAATACCATTCATTATATAAACCTTTCACTTTAGCCTTTGTCAAAATAAGAATATTGCTTGCAGGTAAATTGACAGTATGGAGTGTTGTAAACCTACGCCTTGAGAATTAACATTGCTGAGTAGATCTCACAACAAACTGTATAATGAACAAATGATGTAACAAGTAAAAGAAAGGTGAATTTTATCTGCAAGAGTTTGCAATCTAAAGCTGGGATTTTCGTTTTAGACTAAATGTGTCTATGCATTAAAGGGTTGGAAGGTTTTTTTATTAGCCCCGCCAATGATCTAGTCTTGTTAAAACAAACTCCAAGTTATGGAAATAAAATACATTTCTAATCCCCTAATATCTGTAGGCAGAAACAATGCAGCTTTCGCTACAATACTCGCTTTATTCCAAGTGCTCCTGCAGGCACCCTGCCTACTGCTGCCCTGTTGGTCCTCTTCTGAGTTGAATGGCACCCAACTTCATTCAACCCACTGACTATGAGCCCAGGTTGTGTGTTACTCACAGGATTAACAGGTGAAAATAAAGGAAATAAACCCCTTAAAAAGAAAACCAATGTAACCACCACATCTAAGAACTGTAAGCTGTAATACATTACATTTTTGCTCATGGATTTAGATACAGTTTCAAATGCCAGTAAAGTGCAGGGGTATCAATTATTAACTTTAAATCTTGTTTTATTGTAATTCATACAAGGAAGTACATATATGCTTCAGAAGGTTTTCCTTTATCTCCTGTGCAGGAGCTGAATTGCTACAGGTATATTCAACACAAAGTGAACCAAACTGATTATACATTGGCATCAAAGTAATCTCTGGTATGCCAGATCTAGCGGCAGTATATATAGTGGAGCAATTATCTTCAAACTTGCCAATATTGCATCTGGAGGTAAGTTTAGCATACTATATGTATGCGGTCTATGAATTGTTTACCTACTTTCTTTGGCCTTATTCCCCTTCATATAGGCTTTTGCATTGATGGAATTTAGACAAGAAATTTCCAAGTGGTTATCCTACAGAATATTGAATAGGTAATATGGGTGTTTTTATTTAATATACAATATGGGTTGTATACTGTATATCTCTAATGGTTATATAATATATATCTATAATGTTTATCATAATACTAATAGCTTCAATTCGGCATGGGTATACTGAGTTGGTGCTGTGATGTTTGTAATCCTGCCACTCTTCCACGAGGTCTCAGCATCTACTGTATAGTCTAGTTTCTTAGTCACAAGACTTCATTTGTATGTCTTATACATATATTTTATATAAGTTTGTTGTATATAGTACGTGTTGTACATGTATATTTAGACATTCTTTCTATATATACAGTATATAGATTTTAGTAGTGTCTTAGAAAACTGCTGATGAAGTGGTGCATACATCCATGAAATGCGTAGAGAAATCCTAACTGGTTACCTATCTGGTTAAGAAAAAAAATGTATCTGATTTCTTACAGTATGAAATAGGTAGCACATACCACCTAATGCAGTGGCAGAACTATTGCCATAGCGACCCAGGTGGACGCTATGGGGCCCGGGCCCCAGCAAGGAGGAGGAACAAAGGGGTCCCCCTGATGCCATGCCGCCTCACTGGCGGCTGTGAGGAGGAACGTGCCACTGTCCAGATCACTGACAACCTGTCAGTGATCTGTGCAGCGGTGCGTTCCTTCTCACAGCTGCTGCTGAGTCAGTGACAGCCAGCAGCTTTGGTGGAGGAGGCTGGGGCCCAGCAGTGGCAGCGGAGGAGGAGGTGAGGCCTGGCGGCGGTGGAGGAGAAGGCGGGGCCCGCCAGCAACCATGGAGGAGGTGGGGCCCGGCAGTGAAGGAGCTTAACAGTGGATTGGGGCTGACAGGTAAGGTTTGCAGGGTTGTGACCAGCCCACCTGAGGCCCTGCAGAGCCCTACATAGAGAGTCTATGGCAGGCTCTGCAAAGTCAATCTCAAGTGGGCTGTGTAGGATCTCAGGTGGGCTCTACAAGGTGCATAACTAGAAATCACAGGGCCCCATACAAAATTTTGCTATGAGGCCCTGTGATTTCTAGTTACACCCCTGATCAAATGGGTGATAGTTAATTGGGCACCTGAAAACTCCATTGTTACTTGTTTTTTTTTTTAGCTAAAGCAGAAGTAAACCTAAAAAATCAAAGTCTGCTAGAAAGTACAGTTTTTGTTCAGCTGCTTCTCAATTCTAGCAGTTTTTTATTTATTGTGTACACTGTACGGCACATGCACCATGCAGTGTACTACCCCTGGTCCTACCCAGCATCTGCAGTGTGCCAGGAATCAAACCAGGTGCCGAGGACGATGTAACTCCTGTAGATCGGTGGAGGAGTGCACACTTGTCAGGTAAGTGTGCCATAAGTGTGCTGTGCATTCTTGCATATTATGGCAATAGCCCACCCGATATAGCAGACTTTACTTCTGCTTTAACCCCTTTCCGACCAATGACAGGATTATCCCGCCACGATCATTCAGTCCATTAATGACCAGTAAGGGGATAATCCCGTCATGCGGAACAATGAGAGCTGGTTTGTAAAAGGACCAGCGCTTATTGAGTTACTGCTGTTGATGGGTCCCTCAGGGCCTGAGGCAAACCCTCAACAGGAGATTAAAACCCTCAACAGGAGATTAGGTGGTCACAGCACTGTGATCACAGAGCCGTGACAGTCACACAGCCGGCAGCAGCTCACTCTGTTTTTTAAGCTGCGAGTCGGCTGTGTGTTACAAATTGATACAAGGAATTTCGGAAGAGAATACTGTATTCTCCTCAGAGATATTAAATTTCAAAGCCCCTGTAAATAAAAAATAACCCCTTAGTGCCCCTAGTTTAAAAAAATAAATAAATGTAAAAATAAAAAATAACATTTGTAAAATGTTTAAAAATTGTAAAAAAATATGTTTAATAAAACAATGGTAGGAAAATATAGTGGTGAGGAGGCCATTAAAGATAGGAGACAAACATACCACATTTTAAAATTGTTCCAATTTAAAATTGTATTTTGTGACCTATAACTCCCAAAATAAACTGAAATCCTAGGCATATGATATACCCTATAAATCAAGACAAATAAAATAATTTATTATGAATTACTTTCTGTTAGCTACACTAATTATGTACACATTATTAATGCCAAAACTGTGAAAAATGTGTTTTTTTTGTATTAGAAAAATTTAACATTTATATATGCATATGTCACATCAAATTAAAGCCAAGCTTGCCCTTTAAAAAGTGGTATATAATATGTGTAGGTGCAGAGCATGAGGAAGATGGAAATTATGGTTAAAAAAGCAAAAATGGCAAAATTGCTCCAGTCCCTGGGAACGAAAATATTTTCTGAAGCTGTGTCACTAAGCGGTTAAACTAATTCAGTGGGATGTGGTACGTACCCTATAGGCCAGGAGTGGGCAGCCCTGGACCTCCAGCTGTTATGGAACTACAAGTCCCATGAGGCAATGCAAGGCTGACATTTACAGGCATGACTCCCTGAGGCATGTTAAGACTTGTAGTTAAAGCACAGATAGATGGCCGGATTTGCCCACCATATTGTTTTCTATTTTTCTAACAATTTATATTTAATTGTTATTTTTTTGTGACACATTTTAAAAAGGGGAAAATTCGAAAGACGCACCTTTATTTAATTTGTAAATACCTTTGCAATGCTTTTTACAATGCTTTTTACCAGACTCATAGGGGTCTATTCACGAAGCAGCCAAAGGATCTAGCCGTAGCTTCGGCCGATTCTTTGGCTAGCTTCGGCCCCAGGCTATTCACAATAGCCCGTACAGCTCCCGAACTTAGCCGAGCGGCTCAGTCGAGCCGTAGGCATATGCCTCGGCTCGGCTGCGCCGCGCTGAAAGCCGAAGCCAGCCGACAGCCTGCTCCTGACAGGCCACTTGCAGAGAGATCAGCGTCCCTGGTTACCAGCTAACCAGGGACACTGATCTCCAGACAGCAAACTCTCCCGGCCGCTCAGGAGAGAAACACTGCTTTTTCTTTTGTGTCAGACTAAAGAAAAAAGAAAAATCAGTGTTTCTCTCCTGGGCGGCTGGGAGCGGGAGACTCCCAGAGTGCCCGGGAGAGTTTTTTTTCTTTTTTTTTGACGGCAGCAGAACCGTCAGACAATAGAAAACTGTTGGGTGGAGCTAGCTATCATTGCTAGCTCCGCACAATCATTTTCTATTTACTTTTTTTACTATTTTTCTGTTCTGCTCGGTCCCTCTGAGGGACCGAGCAGAACAGCTGAGCCGAATGCCGCTCAGCGGCATTCGGCTATTCACTCACTGCTGTTCGGCATCTATAAGAATAGACCGAACAGCAGCAAGTAGCCTGCCGGAGGTTCGGCTTAGCCGATCCAGATGTTGGATCGGCTGAGTCGAACTCCTCCTGCACTTCGGGTCGGCCGAACATGCTGAAGCCACCCGATGAAGCCACCCGATGTACGGCTGATCTCAGCCGATGTACGGCTGAAATCAGCCATACCAGCCTGAAGTGAATAGCCGAACAGCGTTCGGCTCACTTCACTTCAGGTCGGTCTTTCACTCGGCTGCCTACGGCAGCTTAGTGAATAGACCCTATAGTTTTACAGGTCTATTCACTAAAAGGGTGAAGAGTTTGGAGAAGATGGATGGAGGAATAGGATGTTCGCTTTGCAAAGTGAATTTTCATTTTGCTAGGGAATTTTCTTGGAGTTTAGTGAATGAGGTGAAGCTCTGCTGACTTCTATCATTCAATCACCAGCAAGGAAAAACCCTGTTTTTTTAAAAATTTTCATTGCACATGATTGTGTATTCTTTGCAATGTGAATGTTAACCACTTTACTAAGGTAAGTGAAAGTGCTTAGTAAACCAGGCCTGGTCTGAATCATCATAAATGTTATATTTTTCAGGGTACATGTTATCTTTATTAAAATCTTATCAGAAAAATACAATATTTGGTGATGCATTGAAAGCTGTTGAAATAAGTCTTTTGACATAATCGCCTATTTTAGAACTTTCTGTACCATACTGACTTAGACAATGGAAGGGACAAGCAGTACTTCCTTAACAAAAACCAACTTGTCATCGATAACGGAAGTCATACTTCTGAGTATTTCTTCTTTCTCCAACTGCAGAGCAGTCATGTTTACTGTGTTTTTGATTGTGTTCCTCTTGACCCTCTTGGGGAACAGCTTAATTATTTCAGCCATTCGACTGACCGTTCAGCTCCACACGCCTATGTATTTCTTTTTATCGAATTTGTCCTTTCTGGACATATGCTATACCTCGATTACAATACCTAATATATTGTCTGCTATCATCAATAACAGGAACACCATCTCGTTCACTGGTTGCTTTGTCCAGCTTGGACTGTTCACTGTTTGTGCTAGTACAGAATGTATCCTATTGGCTGTTATGGCTTATGATCGTTATGTGGCCATCTGCCATCCATTACGCTACAGAGCCATCATTAGTAGGACAGTGTGTCTTTATCTGGCAGTTCTTGCCTGGTTGAGTGGGTCCCTAAACTCAGCCTTTAATACTGCTGCTGCCTCTGATCTTTATTTTTGTGGACCCAATTCCATAGAGAGCCTTTATTGCGAAACCCAGCCTATAATACATCTTGCATGTTCCAATACATATATCATCGATGTTCTTAACTCAGTTGGGGGAACTGTGTTTGGAGTTGGCTGCCTGATCTTCATCCTCACATCCTATGTTTTAATCCTGGCGGCAATTTATAGGATGCCCTCCAAAACAAGCAGACAGAAGACCTTCTCCACGTGTGTTACCACATGACTGTGGTGGCCTTTTATTTTGGAGCACTCTCCTTTATGTATGTTCTGCCTCATAAGGCATCATCCCAGAAGATGGACTCCATAATCTCCATGATATATGCCATCATAACTCCTATGCTAAATCCCATCATATACAGTCTAAGGAACCAACAGATTATAGGGGCCCTGAAGAACCTTGTTTTTCTCTTCCAAAGAAAGTGCCATTGATTAAGAGGTCAGTCCACCAAAATATGATGTCAGTGGGTTCGATCACCTATTTGCTTCTCAAAAACTCCATGGCTCCCCTGACTAAACAAATACTGCTTGTTACTTTGCCCTTCCCTCTTCCATACACAAGCAAATTTAAAAAATAAATGTTTTCTTCCAGGTCAAGTTAACATGAACTATTGCTAAAAATGTATATACAGTGAATTAAGCTTTTTTCTCCTTTTCACATATTTTCCTGACTCCCGTTAGCTCCTTTGTCGAGAAACATCCTGTTGTAAACAGAGCTCACGAAATGGGCAGTGACTCTTTGTTTTCCCCCTGCTCCCTGCTTGTGTTTTCAAATGATTTTGTATGAAGTTTCAATGAAAACAGAGGATCTGAAAGCAAACAGCTTCTGTTGAGCACTCTCTTTAGAAACCTACAAAGCTCAATGAATCCTGGGTCATGGATGCAGCCTGTACTAAATGGTCAAAGTGACTATGGTTCCTAATAATCCAATCCCCTAGCAAGGTATAATAACTGCTACCTTACTTCCTCTCCACTCCATCAGAGCCCCCACAGTGTTGCATTAACCTAGCGGGGCTTTTGGGTATGGGGGGCATGTAACCTCACTTATGTGACAATGTTGAGGCCTAAGTAGCCAATTGCCAAGGCTAAACACAGACAAATGGGGGAGGGGGAAAGACATCAGTCACCCTGTTAAACTCCAACATCGGATGGACTCTTCCAGCAGTATGACAGCGATGGAGTCTAAATACCTTTCTGTGGGGGTGGGCTATCAGGAGGCACCGTCACTTTGCTCTGAATGGACAGGTGAAAGTGGGGATGACTAACTTTCCCGAGGAAGTTTTCCTTGGTGAATGTGGTGAAATTTCATGTTGCAGAGAATACCCAAACATGTGCAAGGGAAATAAAAATAGTAAAAGTAAAATTAAAGTAAAAAAAGTAATTTTTTTGCTTGTACATAATGGGATTCTGGAAGTCAGCAGAGTCTCACTTCATTCACTAAACTAAGGGGAAACTTCCCCTGCAAAGTGCAAATTCCCTTCCAAAGGGAACAACCTGTCTTTAGAAAATCAACCCCTGTGGCTCTTCAAATGTTTATTTGTAAAACAGAGATTTTATATCAATAATAAAAAAGAATATAAAAAAGGAAAATGTAAAAAAGATCTGTTTTAACTTATATAAATTTAAAGAGAAACTAAAATAAAATTGACGTTCAACATTAACCTGTGCTGAATACATTGTGCTGCCTAGATTTTAGAAAACCCAGGGAAGGGAACTTTTATGAAAGATGTCCTGTGAACTTTTTATGAAGGCTACTTTTTTCTAATTTATTTTATTTATTTTTATAAAAAAATGCATTTATGAAGAATTATTTTTTTTCGGGGTGGGGGGTGGGGTGGGGCTTTCTAAGGCTTCACTTATACCATGTTGTCTTATTGTCTCTCACTGTCCTATAACATTTAAATCAATCGATGCAACCAGGGATAGTGATTGATCCCTAAACATATGTAATCGTATCACATGTGATTGCATGCGGTGTGCCGGCGTTCTTCTGCTTTCAAATGCACCCGATTATTAACTTGAGTGGGTTACAGCTGCCACTTGTAAACAGCAGGTTAGGGAATCCTGCTGCAGGAAATCACAAATTTTTTGCAGCGCTGCTTTGAGCTGATTGACTTTGAGCGACATTGAGCTACAGTGCACATTTTGTCGCAATACGTAGCGCTTCTTTTGGCAGTCTATCAAACCCTATTGGAGCCAAATCGCACAAAATCCGCTGGAAAAATAGGTCATGTTCAAGCAACAAGCTTGAGCTACAAGCTACAGGTGACATTGAGCTGTGAGATGTGAACAGCTCGATTGAAATGCATTGGATGAGCTACATTGAGCGATTTTTGAGCGAAAATCGCGCTACAAATTGCTCAGTGTGAATAGGCTCTAATAGTACCTAAAATATAGGTGTGAATGGATCCTTAATGTTGTCCATTGTGAAACATTTTTCAGTCCTATTTCCTGGAAGGGTCAAATTCATTACCATTTTTTTTTTTCTTTCCTCTAGTTGCTGTGCATTGTGTTTATGTGCGTTGCATTACAATGCGTGATGCTGCTTATCTGCACGGTGTTGTGAATGAGGAACTGTTTCTATGTTCCCTTGCAGTGGCCTGTCTTGACCTGATGCGGAAAATACCAGTCACTACACTACACTACACATGTATTCATTATATATACCATCACACTTCATTGTTTATGTGGGTTATATATACAGTAATTGTATATTTTGGCCTGAGTATGTCACATTTGACCGTAAACACTGGGTCATTCAGCGGCTTTATTGTTCTAATTTGTTATTCATTATGCTTTTTTCTTGGCAATGCCATTGTATATGAATATACTGAATATCCTCCTTCTTTGCATTCCTTTATATGACCCAGGTCATCCAGCACAGGTCTCTGTGAGAGTGTCCACTGCAGGGTTTGTATGGTTTCAATTGTTTTAAAAAAATGTCTGCATGCACACTTATGCATATTTGTGTTTTTTAATAATAATGCTTGTTGTATGTCTTTAATAAAGAGATTCACATTACATATTAGACATGCGCACGTAAAAATAAATTGTTTTCGGACGAAACAAATGAAAACACAAAACATTTTGTTTTGTCAAAGGAAACCAATTTTTATGTTGTTTTGGATTCGGACGCAACGAGCCTCCGAATCCAAAACCACACACTGAAACCGCAGAACGAGCAGCGGCCATATGCTTATGCGCGCCACCATCTTAGAGTGTATCTTGGTATACCCCAAGATGGTGGTGCCCACATGTTCGAGCGCCGCCATCTTGGTGTATACCAAGATATAAGCCAAAATGGCAGCGCGCATATGTCTGATATGGCTAATATGGCCGATATGGCCACCGCTCGTTCAGCGTGTGACATCACCGTCACGTGATGTCATACGCCCCGCCTCCAAGATGGATATAGTTTTAGTATATTCGGGCATATAATAAATCCGTTATTACGGATTCAGACGAACTGCCCAATCAACTGATTTTTGTTGATTTACAGATTCATCCGAATCCGAACGCACATGTCTATTACATATTCTTCTTTGATTGTGGATTATTCATGCTGGTGCAGTCTTTGCTTTTAGGTAGGAATTTTTGGCTTCGACTAAGTTGTGAGTTTTTATCCTGTGTGGCAAACTCAGTTGTGCAGGTTAACATGCGAGGTTCTGTAGATATGTATGTTTTTCTGAAAAAGCCATGTATGTTAATGATAAGAAGACATGAGCAGAGTAGTTTAAATGATTTTGCCATGAAATTCATTTTGCAGCACAATTATCCATGAAAATTCACCAAATTGGAAGTTCTAAATTTCACTTGTAAATGCATTTCTGCGGGTTAAAACGCGCACGCAGCCTGCGCGTGTGCGTGTTGGGCTTCGTAAATCAGCCCCACTGAGTTGCTAAGGCAATATATGCACGAAAAAAACCCCTCAACAAAAGTTTCTTTACTTAGACGATGTGCTTTGAATTACACCCTTAAAAACATGTCATTTATTTTAGTTTTGACTCCAATGTATGTGCCCCTTTTGCATTGTGTGTGTATACAGTTCATTAATGTCTGGCACACTATAGATCCTGAAAATAACCAGGCAGTTGGTTCCCCTTGGGGTTTTGAGGCACTATTTTTTTCCAACTGTCAACCACATCCCCGAGTATCAAAAGGAAGAGCTAACTGATTTTTTGTTTAAGACAAAAAAAGGGAACTACATCTCAGATGTTTTAGTTTCCTTCAATTGTTTGCCCAGCTACTCAATAAAACAGGGAAGCAATAAAGCAGCTGTAAAAGTTGGTTATCTAAGTAGAATTAGAACTGCAATTTAAAATGTGAATTTCCTCAAATATTTAATGGTGTTCTAATGTCATATGTGTTTCTTGTCATTAAAGCAACCTCATGACATATGTGAACCCAACAAAAATAGGAAATAGGTAGGCTTCAAGACACGAAGGGCCTTAGGGTAAAAATCAATCCACAGGACCGCAGTGATGCTTGCCCTAAGCAATATTTTATCACAAGATCAATAATCTCGCACCTTGTGAATGTAACCAAAATTCAGGATACTTCCTGCTGGTAGACATTGCAGCGTTGTCATATTTATGACCACATTTGAATTTTTGGACTAAGGAATAAGAATCTCTGCCCGGTTTTCACTTTGTGGTTCGTGTCCCCATTGGGGAGATTCCACTTGTTTATTGTCTGTAAGGGAGAGTGATAGAAAATCTTTCCGGTAGAACACAGAATTCAGGAAAACACTTCACTTGGTAAAACGGGGGAAGAGTTAGAACCTCTGTCATGTTGTTATTATTATTCCCTTTGCCATAATTTTTCCTGGTGATAACTACTTGCATAAGTTTTTGTTCTGCTATCAAAGGCTATAGCAGAGACAGGAAGTAGGGTGAAACCTCACCCAGTGGAGAAACAACAAAAAAGCGTATCCACAATTACAAACTAATTGTCTGGAATTAGGTTTTAACTCTTTAGCTGCCAAAAGGCTTACATTGGAATAGAACCACTTGTAGCTTGCGAGCTCAGTAGGCCTTACGTCATTGGTATTCCTCACTCTGCTTTCAGCTCATGGTCACCTCAGCGACCATGAACTTATATCATTTGTCACACTTCCCCTTTGGCGATGATCTGGCGCCGGCTTTTACCTCCTGTCCAAGCTGCTCGGCTTCCTGTCAATCCGCTGTGAACCTCTCCATTAAAAGTCCTGCTCACTTGTTAAACGCCGTTCGAGCAACATGTCTTTACACTCAGTCGGACTCCCTGTGCATCACTTGTCCTTGAATCCCTGCGGATTACTATTACCTGCCTTGTTCCCTGTGTGTCTCTGGATTCCCTCATGCTCCCAGTAAGATGTTGCACATCCAGCAAGTGGATTGTTATCATCATCTCCTTCAGATAACCCTTGCATCTGCGCTCACCTGTGTGTCGCTCCTCTTGTGTGGCTGCTTGTTCCATGCAACCTCGCTCTTCAGTGTATCCCGGATAGCCGTGTTGTTGCTGCCTTCTTTTTACACTATTGTTTGGACTTCTACCCCTCTGTCCCTCAGTATCAAGAACTGCTATCTCTGTATAGGCTTCACCCCTGCCGCTATTGTATCCAGCACCTCATTGCTGCAGCTAGTCTCTGTGTCTGTGTGGGCACGCTAGAGGGCCGCAACCTGGAATGTGTCCAGCAGCCAATCATCCTCACCATTGGATGCTCTATCAGGGAGCTGGCTCTTCTTAGATACTGCGCCTCTAGTTCGTCCCTGGTAATGCACAGACACCTACTTCCTGTGTTTTCAGTGACCCGAAGTGCAGAAGGAGTTCGACTCTTGGGACCTCACAAAGTTTTTCAGAAATTAAAAAGAAACAAAGTAAACAAGTAATGTCACTTTTCTGTGACATTACAAATTTTAGTTGGTAATGATAATTTAACTCTGAATCCGAATCCCAAAACAGATTGACTTTTCAGACTTGAATCTTGAAAAATAAAATAACGAAACATCCGAAACAAAATGAAACGAAACTAAACATATTTCTTGCCAGCTTACATATTTAAGTACCACTGCGTTGCATTGCAGTGAATAAAAGTAATGCAAAGTAGTGCAGAGCATGGTATTGTGGTACCTCACATTGCCCTGCACTGCAATGCAGCATGGCCGAAAGGTTTTTTGGGGTGCCAATCAAAAGAATTTGTGAGACTCATGTGAACAGCTGTGAGCAGGAGGCATTGTACAATAGAATGACAGCTGTTCGCAGCATTTGCTTGTAATCATACATGCTGTGATTCTCTGTGGATGATCGCCCCTGGACGCAGACTATAACCAATGTACATTATATGAAAAGCCAACATTATGTATGTAGATAAAATATAAAGGACAGGTGGATGCCCATTGTCATTTATCTGATGCAAGTTAGGAAATGAAGGTAAACAATACATTTGGTTTGCTAACGGAGGCATCAATAGTTTTGATGGCATTATTTTTCGTACAGGAGTGGCCCATGTCAAACAGCTATAGAAATACTAATAACTAATAAACATGAAACAAAAACATAAGTAATTTTGTACGAGCACTGGAGCAAGTCCACATTTTATTTGTTTTTAGACATTAAAAACTCTCTTGTATTCATTGAAGGTTTTAAAAGAATTATATAACATTTTGGAGCAAATATACAACACAAGAGTCCAAAACTCGACAGCAAAATTGAAAAAATCTCAACTGCAACAATGTATTTGCCTTTTGTGCTTAGATAGGCTGGAATGAAAGTTGACCAGACACTAAGGAAGGTCAGCATGCTGAAGGTAATGTATTTGGCTTCATTAAAACTGTCTGGTTGTCCTGGGGCCGAAGCATCGGCTGAAGCTACGGCCAGATCCTTCGGCAGCTTCGTGAATAGACCCCTAATTTTTGAAAATTCTTTTATTTAAAATACATTTTTTTTAAATGTCCCATGAAGTAATTCCATCAGCCAACAAGTTCCTGGCCAGGAAAGCAACCACAAAACTTACAGCAGCCAAGACACCCAGGTACCCTATTGTACAGTAAAACATGACCACTGAGCCCTCATTACATTCTAGAAGGATGGTACCAACCAAGACTTGGTGATTATGTTCCAGAAAAGGTGGAAATTTAGCCAACCACACCAAGATAATGACTATCTGAAAGGCAGTTGAGAATGTAACAACAAGACCAGCTGTCTTGAAACCAACCCACAACCTCAGATTGCTCCCCGGTTTGGTGGCTTTAAAGGCAATGACAACTATGATGGTTTTGGCCAAGATGCATGAGACACAAACTGAGAATGTGATTCCAAAAAGAGATTGTCTGACAGTACAGGTCAGTTTGGTGGGGCAGCCAATGAACATTAGTGAGCAAAGAAAGCAAAACTTTAGGGACAAAAGGATAAGGTAACTGAGGTTTCTATTGTTGGCTTTTACCATGGCTGTATCCCGAAAATTATGAAATATGCACAGCACCATCACAGTGATGATAAAGAACAAAACAGAGCATGTGGCCATCACTAGACCAAGTGGTTCCTCGTAAGATAGGAACTCAATGACCTTAGGAATGCATTTGGTTCTCCTACTGTTGGGCCACTGGTCCTCTGGACATGGTTGACAGTCAACAGAATCTGTAAAGTCATTAAAAACAATGATTAGTCAAGCCAGACTGACTACTGAGCACATCATTCATAGAAGGAATTTGTTACCAAATCTCCATTTTAAATATTTTTGTGGATGTATTTTATAATAAAAGTGAAGTGCTGTCAAGGAAGCAATAGCTTAAGTACCTGTTGTCTGTGCCATTCTGTCCCAGTGACCCCAAATTCCCCTTAAAGTGCTTTTTTTGCTGCATTGTTCCACTGAAGATATTTTCCTCACTTCTTGTCCTGGAAAACCCATCGGGACACCACAAGCGAGGGGAACTTTCCTCAATAAGGTCAAGGCAGCAATAAAAAGTGGTCACAGTTTTAATCCTTGCACAACAAAACTTTTTGGCTGCAATTGGTCTTTATTTTTTTCTGATTTACTGTTACTGACAGAGATACATAAGTATAAAATATCAGCACCATCATAGCTGCAACAACTCCATTTTTCTCCAGACCATTTTTAAATGAACTGAACTGTAATCATGTCCCACTCATAATTATTTCACCAGGGCTAAACTAGTCAACCTGTGGAGAGTTAAGTTCCTTCATTTTTATACATGGCAACGGTAAACTTTAACTTCTCTTGGGGTGGATACACCACTAGCCTTAAGGTGCCCATACACTTTACAACCATTGCAAGACCTTAGTTTTGCGATGGTTGCAATGTAATTTTAAAAACGTACGATCTGCCCATCTTGGACAGGCAGATCGTACTTGCAATCATCGCAAGCCCGCCCCTCTGAGGGGCGGGCTTGCAATGGCCGCAATGCTGAACGGGCAGTGTGCGCGTGCGCACATCGGCCCGTTCGGCATTTGTCCCCCGAGCATCATCCAAACCAGCCAAAATCGTAAGATTTTCGGCTGGTTTTCTAGCATGCTCCTTAGACAAAAGATGTGCGACCGTACAATAGATACGGTCATACGCCTTCCTTCACACTGTACGATTCTCGTACGATCGCGGGATTTCCCGCGATTCTCGTACGAGAATCGTGCAGTGTATGGGCACCTTTAAAGGTTACTGTACATGGCATCAAAATGAATGGTAAAAAGCAATTTACATGACACTTATAGGGACCTCCCTCCCTTTCTAAGTAATCATTTATGTAACAGGAAAACAATCATTCTGACTTTAATTGAAGCTAAACTCTAGGCATATATACTGTAAATAAAATGCTTTGCACGGGATGGCAGGAGGTTAATATGAAGATTGATGTCTTCATGTTAGCCTCCTGTCATTCCCTCCACAGCAGTATTCAGAATGAGAGAGGGAGGGGCATCACTGAGAGCCAATCAGCTCTGCTGCATGCACATGTGCTAACAGAAGAAAGCAGAGTAAGCAGGACTAATTAATTATTAGTGTGTTGTATCTCCTTCATTGTCCAATCAGAACTTTTAAGCCTACAGTATATAATTTTTTTTGTTTTTGAGTTTAGATACACTTAAAAAAAGTAGGAATCACAAAAGTGGCTGGACAGAATTACAAATCCTTGGCAGATGAGACAATTCACATAAGTGTTTTTCAACTTTGTAGTTGTTTGCCTGAGATTAGCTTTAATCAGATTAATTCCCTGCTCCGTAACTCACTTGTCTCATTGGAGATCATCCCTTCTGGACACATCACGCAGTCAAAGCAGCAGGCAGGCTGACCTCTCCTTGGTGCCTTCCTGTAGCCAGGAGGACAGTCATCACTGCAGACAGAGCTTGGCACCTTGGGTTAACAAACACAAGGGAATTAAATTTAATGTGTAGCAGCCTAATTAGTGGCGTCACAAGGGGGGTGCACTGACAGTCATTTTGGTGTCACCCCTTCTTAAAAGTCGGGCAGTCAGTCATGGACCGAGAGATCGACAGCGGCGCAAAAAGGGGGGACCCTACAACATACTGGGTCAATATTCCCTCCTCTCTTTGCAGGCGTCCATAACCAAGATGGCAGCAGGCAGTGAAGTACATCACTGTGAATGCGTGATGATGTCACACCACAGACGTCATAACGCATTCATGGCAGCAGTATCAATCTTTATTGTTTACCACATGTAGACCAGTTAAGAGGAAAAGTTGGTGGTTATGTGGGGGTATGGATTTTAACATACTATTATCAATGTTTTTCACATTCCACACCCAGTTCCTTCTCTGGGTGTTGTGCTTCAAATGGTTGGATCATAGGAAAACTTTTATGTGAAAGAAAATAAGTTATTTTCAGCTTGCAAAAATATGCAGGTTTTAAAATACGTCCATGCATATTGTAACTGACATTTTTCATAATGAAACTGTAGTGTTTTGTTGATATTTTTAACTATTTATATTGTTCAGGACTAAACACTTTTTAAGTTAGGTAAATATGTAAATTAAGGTTAGGTCTATGGCTAAATAAGTAATATGACCCCATACAGGCTCTGCTGTGCTCTCTATTTCTATATATGTCAAAAATAAATTAAAATTAAATTAATTACCTTGCCTAGTCCTCCCGGCCACTGGATGGCAGTGGTGTTAATGAAAAGTTTTGGGCCACTGGTAATGTACTCATTGTAGGTTCCTACTTTTGTATATTGACCTTTGTTTCCCATCAGATTCCAGTTCAGTATGTCAAAATACCCATGGATATTTCCTTTATCATCAAATGAGACCTCCTCTCCAGCCGTGTTAACAAAATCAACTCTCTTCATGTAATGCAAGAGCTACAGAGGTTAAAAATATATATATTATTTTCATGTGTCATTATGCTCTAACAGAAAAAAATATCTAGTCAAGCCACACTTCCAATGAGAAACCTAAAGTCTGTCTGGTTTGAGTAAACAGTCTGCAATTTGACAACTCTGCTAGTACAGAACTCTTGCTCTGACTACATTTCTACAGGACTAAGATTGACTACTGTTACATAAAAGAATACTCTATCTAACTGTACTTACACTTATGACTGTCTAGTCACCCGCCCACCCTTACTGTAAATAATTCAGCACGGTTAAGCCCTGAGTAGGACTTTAGTTTTGGACTCTGTTACCTGCCAAGGTTGGATATTTTTTTTATCGCCACAAGATTTTCCACTGAAAGGACCTTCTCCAGGCTTACAGGATAGCAAATTATGGAGAGCATAAGCAACCACATAGAGAGCATTGTGGGCCATGTATACAGCTTGGGAGGTTGGGTCATTCAATTCAGTAATGTCATCAGTTAATATCTTCTCCAAGCCAGTACATGCCCCTATGCTGGAGCTTGCACTAGATAAACTGCTATTATCCTTGGGCCACTTGCAGTTAAAAATCCTCTCCCAGAACTGTCTGATAGACAACATTCTAGGATAAACAGAGGGGTTAAGGTTTTGGAGAAAGTCTGAGTAATTTGGTAGAATCTTTCTACTTCTTGCAATCCCGATGGTGCTGTTCAGTATGCTCCAAAAAGCGGTCTGTAGAAACACAGGGGATGTGTACCAGGTTTCAATGCCCACCCACACTTTTCCGGAAACGTTTTGTAGGAGAACTTCGATTAATATTGTGTTTGCCTCCGGAGGAGAGACAAATAGAAAAACGGCTGAGGCTGTTGACTTTCGAACATTTTCTATAATCTTTGGCATTCTCTTTGTGGTGGAATCCAAGGCGATGGTTTCATAAAAGGCAATACAAACCTCACTGTTGGCAGCCACTTTTTTAAGGGCAATCCCACCTTGTGTACCATAGTCTGTTGAGGAGATAAGTATACCTATCCAAGTCCACCCAAGTGTACGACACAAGTCAATGAGAGCTTGCGGTTGGCTGTCAACATTGACTACTGTCCTCAAGAAGGATGGAAACTCTTCTTTGTTGCTTAAATTTGGGAGAGACGCAGCATAGCTCACCTGCAAAAAAAAACAGCAGGGTTGAAGACACGCCTCATAAATTTTCTTTGTTGATTTGTCTCTAGCACAGTGGAAGGTTTATGGTATTTTCAGCTTTATACTAAAACTATAGTACATCTGCCTCCTGTATAATCTACACTTGAAAACTTGATACAAAAGACAGAGCTATGGTTGGTAACACCTGTTTATCCTTTATCAGTGATCAGAATATCAAAATATATATACATAACAGCTACCCAAGCCATTATATTTTCCAGTGTTATTAAAATGATTTTTCCATCTGCAGCTGGGGGGTGTTCTGCGCTCCTGCAAATCCTTTTTCCTGATTTATGTCTGTGAAGGTTCTCATTCATCCAGGTCATGGTATATCTCTAAAAAATAAATCAAGGCAACTGGACTTGCCGTTATTTTTCCTGAAAACATTTCACTGGTCATCCGACCAGCTTTCTCAATTTAGAATGACTTGTACAAAAATTATCTGAGAATAAATATGGTTTATATCGTTTTCACACATGTGTAATACAGGTAGAGCAATCACTTTAGCAATCACTCTTAGGTAAGTCTTTACATGGTGTTTATTACTAGAGTTGGGCTGGATGTTCGAGTCAGAATGCCATTATGCGGCGGGTGTTCGTCGCGAGTGGGGCGGCAGTCGTTGTTTTAAAAAAAATTATTGTCGTGGATAATGCTGGATGTCCTGATTGACCCTGGATTACGTTGGTGGATCAATTTTTTTTTTTTTTTTTAACAATAAAAGACTTGTCAAAATCCTTTTTGTTCTGTTTTTTTTTTCAATTAAAGGATTTTTTCCAAAAGTCTGTTTTTTTAGTTAATTTTTTTAACCCTTTAGTGAACGGGTAGGTGTACAAGTACCCCTTACTCATTCACAAGGGGGGCGCATCTGGATGCCCCTTTATTAAAGGGCTACCCTGATGTGAATACGCCCCCTGTCCGCATCACCACAAGCAACGGCCCAGGGCTTGTAGGGAAGAGGCCCTTGTCCCCATCGGCATGGGGACAAGGTGCTTTTCCAGGGGTGACCCTGGAAAAGCACCCTCCCAGTGCCGAGGGCATGTGGCCTGGTATGGGAGGGAGGGGGTGGGGCATTCGCTCAGCTCCCGCCCTTTCCAGCCCTGCCAGGCCTATACTTGGATCAAGGGTCTGGTATGGGATTTTAGGGGGGACCCCACGTTTTTTTCCCCCATTCTAGAGGGTGGGGCTCCTCCTTAAAATTCCTACCAGACCATAAGGGCCTGGTATGAATTTAAGGTTGAACCCCACACACTTTTATTTTCGTTTTTTTTTACATGGGGACCCTCCTCAAAATTCCTACCAGACCTTAAGGGCCTGGTATGACTTTGAGGGGGAACCCCACACACTTTTTGTTTTTTTATACACAGGGGGGAACCCAACTTTTGGGGGGAACCCAACGCTTTTTTTTAAAATGGGGTCCCTGCTAACATTCCCACCAGACCTAAAGGGTCTGGTATTGTTTGGGAGGGGGAACTGCACGTCTGGAAAAAAAAAAGTAATTTTTTTTTGTAATGTCAGTTTTGCTGCAACAGGTTCTATAGATTGTACAGATTTGCCACTTTACAGGCAGGTTAAGGGAACCCCACAGGCACGATATTTAAAGGAATTGTTTATTTTTATTGTTACCCTTTAAGTGATGTTAAAATCACTGATCCTTTAAAAACGGTATTTTAAAAATGTTTTTATGGCCAATAACTTGCATATAAGCCCTCTTACAGGGTATAGTTGTTTTTGAAAGTTCTACCCCCATAAACTTGCATTGAGTTTTAAGTTCGAATTAGAACTTTTTCCATGTTCGAAAGTTCAAATTTGAACCAAACTCGGGTGTGTTCGGCTCATCACTATTATTACAGTGTACATCCTTTTGTGTTATCTTTAGTGTATTATACAGATAAAAATATGTTGAGTAGCTTTTAAATTATAATTTCTTTTCTATATGCTCACCTGTGGTATCCTCCATAGTCCAAGCACGCTTGACATGGCCACAACAGAGGCAGATAAGGGATCCCCAATAACAGCAGGTACTTTTTGTAGGGGTCCACACCTGTAGTTAGGTACAGGATTCTTGGCTCCTGTCACAACTTGCAGTGTTGCCTTCAGAGACGTTGCCGCAGAGAAACAAGAGTCAAACATGTAGAACCCCAGGGTAATATTTGGCAGAAATAAGTTTTGATTGATCTCCTTTGTGGCAAGGAGCAAAGCAAGAATGGACTTGTACTGGTCTCTCCTAAACCTGCAGAAATGAAATATGTCAGGGAAATGCAATAGGTGTAATGTCAAAAAATACACACTACCACTAACATAGAGATGCAACATATAGCATGGATGTCCAAAAGCATTGGGCCCTGGGCCTAGCTCTCACAAGGGACAATATCTGTCTGTTTGTGTATACACCTCTTGTTTGCATGGTCCTAAACTGGTTACTTTGGTTTCCTCATCCAGTTCAAATACATGTTCTATTAACTAGCTTTTATCCAAAAATCTTCCCTTTTGTATTGGCACAGTGCTGTGTAATTGTTGATTAGTCTCTACAAACCAGAGTCTCTTAATTTTCTTTATGATTATACTCTATTGACTTCCCATGATGCTGACTTGCTTTACATGGCTCAGCGACAGATTAAGGCAGAATGGGCCCTAGACAAGGTAGCCCCACTATGCCTTCCACTGATATTGATAAAGGTTGCAATAGACAGAAAATATGCCCCATTTGCATTGTCTGTACTGATATACCCCTTCCGATGAGACACAAACTACCTTCTATAGCAGTGGTTATCAACCTGTGTAACCTCAGGACCCACATTTGTCCTTGGTCATAAAGTGGCGACCCAAGTTTCACTGCAATGGAATGCATGGCAGTAGGGTACCGCGCATTCTGGTGCGGCCGTATGCACTGTGGGTGGGAGGTGGGTTTGGGGTACCATTCAATGGCACCCAGTCTCCCTACCTTATGAGAACTGGAGTGGATCCTCAGCCTGGGATCCAGTGTGGGCTGCTGTGCAGTAATGGAGCTCCATCCATATGTGCATTGCTTGTACAGCTCCCTTGTGTGCCCTGTAGTTGTGCCGGGAGCCAGAATGTGGCCTCACTCCAGTCCAGTCCTGGAACCTCTACAGCACCTGCGAGGGAGATGCAAACAATGAACGTATTGATGGAGATCCCTCGTGGCCATACTCCCAGCCCACCCCACCTCAAGCTGACACTCGGCGCCAGGCAGCGTATTTTGAATGGCTGTTTGGTGCGAGAACTGACACTGCTGCACTAGGGGAAGGGTGAGGAGCCTCTCACCTAGAAAAGTGGAAGGCATGCAGTGACCCACTCAACACAGTGGGAACACTGAACCCACTTTTGGGTCACGACCCACCAGTTGAGAACCAAGGTTCTAGAGCATCCTCACTTGTGAAATGAGAGGTAGGTGCACAGCTTTAACATTTGGGCTATACTCCTGGTATACAGCAGGAGTATGAAGGTTGTATATGGTCCCCCCTGGACATCTACCAGGTCTTGACTCTTGCCCAAGTTACATTGTGGGCGACCCGGCTATATTTGGGGGTGAGGGAAACAACTTTTAACTATCCTGGCTATCAGCATTGTTACTGCTGATATACAAAACAGAAGTTATTCTGCATCTGGCCACACCTAGTCCTGCCCACTGGGTTGACAACACTGCCTCTGTCGTTGAAACCCTCTGTTGCACGGTGAATTGCCAAAAGGAGGATTTGGCTTAGTCAGGGAATAAGTTTCTCATTTACTTTATGAGGCTTGTATATCACATAGTAACTGGATTTGGGACTTGTTTAGACTGTCATATAACCTTTAGATGTACACCAAATACACAAAGAAAAAGAAAAAATCAAATACAAAGAACACTAAATACAAATAAACTAAACTACAAAAAAAACCCACTCCCTCTACATAAAAAAAAACTAATACTTTTTACTCAAGCAAATTTAACCAAAGAAGGCCAACAAGCGATATTGGTAAATTTACAGCAAAGTTTTAAAATTGCTCCGCTCATTCCTAATGGCTAGCCTTCCATAAGGAGCCAGTCATCTGTCCAATCACATCTAAAAGAAATAAAGGGCAGCATTTATCAGTACTTACAAGTCACATGTATGAGGAGGTGGCTCAGCTGTGAAGGTTATGATGGATTGAACGGAAGCTGTATTTACAGGGCCGATCATTCCTAATAAGATGTGACCTTCTTCAGTATAGTTTAACATGGAAGAGGAGGACAAGAGACAGCTGGAAGCTCGGACCCCCACACGACACAAAAGAGCAGCCATTGTTACCAGCCAAAGCCATGGTCCCATTATAAACCTACCAAAAACAATTAGGATAAAATGAAATAATATGAAGATAAAGCATACCTCTTTTCCTTCTAACGGAGAGAAGCTATTCTGCAACTAGGTGACTGACACAATGTAAAAGGGGTTCCCTCCTGTTGAGAAAGTGTAGTAGTTAATATGTCCCCTAGCTGTTGCTGATGAGTGTTCTAGTGTATATTTTAAAGTGTGGGAAGGGGTGAGGTCTTTTGGAAGAAATCTTGCAGCCATCCTGTAAGGACATTGGGTATTCATTAGCTCTCCCATTTGGTGGAGAGGCCTCCTAGGCCTGTCTGGCGTATTAGAGTGCTGGGCCTGTAAGGAGACAGTACAAAGATGGGAGTAGCCAACATGTTTGCACACAAACGAGCACCACAATCACCCTCTGCATAGGGCTAATGTAAGTGCGATATTTTACCTCTCTGTAGGACTATGGAACCAAATATATGGACTTGTTTCTTGTTGTTTCCCTTTCGGAAGAAATGTTTCTTTACCAAAAACATGGGCTTTTGCTGTTCATAAAGTAAAAAATTTAACTGAAAAAACAAACCTCCGTGTGATGTGCTATGTCCTATGCGTGTAAAGTAGGTGAATTTGCTGCAGTCAGCCAGTCTGGTTCAAGAAGACTTACAATATGTGGGACTAACAAAGCAATTATTCCATAAACAATCAATACCTGGGGAATATGTTTTAGCAGCCGTTTCCAGGGCAGGAGTGGTGGTGGTTTGGGAGCTGAGGGCTTATCTTTAGAGTTGGTTGTATTTCCTTGGGTGCACCTCCTGTAAACTCAGAGCACCTGTGTCACATGGGCCTTGGAATGGTGGCAACCCTTGCTGCTTCACCCTGGTACCAGGTGAGGTCTTGGAAGAAAAAGTTTAAGAGTACTCCTGCCAAGGCTAAGGGCCTGACAAGGGAAGCACGTGTTACTGTGAAATCTGGTGGGATAAGAGAAATCCTGTGAGCACTGTCTCTTCAAAGTTGTAGGCCTCTGAGACTGGAGAAGTAACTTTGCTTCTCATACTTTATGTCTGTTCTTAGACCCATATATCCGTTGCCTTGACAAAATTCAATAATTGCTATTATGTTGCTATCATCAGTGGCAGAAAACACCAAATTTTATTGTTGGCAATTTTTTTATCCAGCAGTAAAGCATCTTATTCCCCACTTGAACAGAAAATATACCTGAATAAACAGATTACACATCAGCTTTTTAATTCTTTATTTGAGTGTTCACACAGCTGGCAGGCTCCATTGCTTCTCTGAAAAGCAATTTTCTTCTCTCCTTTTTTATCACAATGGGGATTTTCTGCTGCAATACCATGGAGCCAATTGATTGCCATGATCACATTTGGCTAGCGACACCACATGTCAAACATGACATGCTGCTTAAAATGTGCCCTAATTGCAACTCCTGTACCTGTAATTTTTGGGCAGCCAACTGCAAAATATTTGCAACTCATTACTGAAGATGATATAAAAGTTTAATTATGAAGTGGTCAGGTTATGTTGTTGCAGCTCTACATTAGAAAAGCTTTAATGTTGCACTGAATCTGTTGCATGATCTGTCTCATTGCACCTGCTTAGCATTTCCTTGCTGTACGATAGAATAGATAAATGTACCCCAATATTTTCTGGCTACTACAGGAGGAGCATTGTGGGTGTTTCACTTCCTTATAGAGCCTATTGTTTTCACTATAAAGTCATAGGTACATATATAATTACAAAATGTGCACAGAAACAAGATACCCTTTACATTAAGCAGATCTCTTTTAAATAAATGCATTAAAAGCAATAAAATGACAATAGTTACCTGTCAATGTGTTCTATCTTTCAGATTACAGCGGTAAAAATATTTGTTTGAGCAAAAATGTCCAGTGTCACCCACTCACACTGTCAGTTAAAGTAATCATTTAAAGAAAAAATGGCATGCAATGGTAAGTCAGAGTTCCCTCCAACTGTTCTATGACATGGGGACATCATGGAGGAACTTTCTTTAAACAGCTGAACCAAATGGCTCAGGATGACGGCTAGATCACAAGGACAGAAATATCAGCCATCAGATTTCTTCTATGATAGGTTTCCATTTAATGTTAGGCTAATTTTGAAGATTAGGTGTGTGGGGTTAACATTTAAGTTTTAGGCAAGGGGTTTAAGCGTTAGATGGCACTTTAACATTAGGGGCACTTTCAGGTTACAGATACCAAGGGCCATTCACACAAATGTACGCCACTGCAAGGCATGATAACACACAGTGCTGTGTTATGTGTTGGGACGTGTCATTTATTAGGGTTTACATCTATTTAGAGGTAAGTCTCCCCAATGTGGACACAGCCACATAAACCTCACATAGGTACTAACAATTTGACACTAAAGCTAAAACAAATAAAAATTGCTTTGGCTTGAGTTCCACTTTAAAGAATGTCAATTTCTTCAATGTTGTTTCCTTGAGACAAATATTGGGGGCTGGCATTGCTTACACCCTTCTAACAATGCTAGTGTTCTTGCTGTCTCTGGGTTGATTTATTTAGCTTCAAACAAGCATGCTGTCTTTGTAGTAATAATCTGAATCTTTATACATATTGCAAGTCAGAGATGTAAAATGTGCTAAAGCCAGTGGATGAGCATCACAGCCAGGCAACTTGAATTTAAAATTGACAGCCTACAAATATTTTTCAGTACAGGTTTACTGTACAGGATGTACACCAAAAGCCACACAGTTGCAGCTCGGCCATAATTTCTTTCCAGTTCTTACAGGAATGTTGATGTTCCCGCTCAGGAACAGCTATACATTTTCAGTGTGTGCAAAAAATAATTGCCATCATACAGTCTGGAGTGTAATTCAGAGTGCACACAGCTTCACATTATTAAAAAATACACTTTTGGGTGGAAAAAAAACCCAGGTTCTAATGAATTTTGATGATGAATGCATTTCTCTGTAATGATCTATTACACATTTGATGGCCATTAGACGCTAAATAAATAAAAAAAGACACAAATGCAGTACTTGCCTTTTGAAATGCGTGTCCACAGGAAGCGTGACCCCTCCACTGTGGACTAAGTGTCAGTTGTCCGGGTTCCTTTTTAGAACGTTATTTATATTTTGGACAATCAATATGGACATTTATGGCCCTGATCCACTGAGAATTCCTGATTTCCTCTTGGTGTGCCTCAACATTTCCGTTATTGACAGCTCTGCATTTCCAACATGCATTTAAAGCTAATTATTCTAATTACTGACCTATAATTATTTCATACAGAGTTATTATTCCCAGAGCCCTTGGCTACAAGATATAATTATAATTATTGCGAATGCACAGGGGCCAGAGGAAATGCATGCAATAAAGCAAGGTATAACCATCCATATCCCAACGGCCGACATCAGGTGCAAAGCAAAATACTGATATTACTAATATGACGCAAAGGAAATTTACAGGAAAATTCTTCACTTCATATCAAGATTGCATATTATCTTATCTATGATCAAGGAGAGTTAAAAGATCAGTAAATATAAAATGCAAGTTTCTTTTATGTAAGGTAATATCACCGTATGTGTGTAAATGTTGCTATAATTGAACAAAAATATATGGGTTGGTTTTTAGGCTACACTCTCACCTCAGCATCTTGGGGCGGCATGTTATAAAAATCACACTTGCTCTATTTTTGGTTCAGTTTCTAGCCATAGTCAAAAATAGGAATGGATGTAAACTGCATAAAAACACAAAGCTCTGGAATGGCACCGTTTAAAAAATGCAGAGGAGTGAATGTAGCCTGAAAAACAAATCTTCCTGTAAGGATTCAGCATCTTAGCGCTAGGACTGTACATATTTTAACATTTTACTTTTGATACCAGAGGTAAGTATCAGAGGCGTGACTAGTGCCCTCAGGGCCCCGATGCAAGAATCCATGAAGGGCGGGGGGCACCCCCACCCAAGAAGAAAAAAATTAGATACATTTAAAAAACAAAAACAAATTTTAGACAAAAAAAAACACTCTCCCTCTTCATGTCTCCAGCTTTCCGCTCCCGGACTCCACACTCTCCTCTTCCATGTCCCCATCTTCCCCTCATCTCCCCCTTCACGTCCCCAGCTGTCCGCTCCTGGACCCCATGTCACCTTCATAGTCCCAGCTCCCTATATCTTCCCCTTCGGGTCCGCAGCAGCTCTCTTTTCGGCAGCGTTCTGTGTGATGAGGGGGCGGGGATAACACCGCTTCCCACTCATTGGCTGCTGCGCCGGCAGGATCATACTTCACGCTGCGCCCGGAACAACGTGAGGGGAGCAGCATGAAGCATGTAGGGCCCAGGACAGGAGGAAGAGGTCCCGGGACTGACATTAGCGGTTACCGGGATAATAAATATCCTGTTAATCATCGGTTACCAGGGGCCCCTTCCTCCTGTCCTAGGCCCCCTCCAAATGGCGGAAATCCAGGGCCCGCTCGCAGCCGCGACCTCTGCGACCCTGGTAGTTCCTCCACTGTTAAGTATCTATTTTAAAGGAGCGTTTTACATTGTAAAAGTGGTTAACTTTGATAAAAAAATAATATATGCACGCATCTTCATAAAAGGTGCATTTATTCTTTTTATGCATTGTAGCCTGTAAAGCATTGCAACCACTGACTCCTTTTTGAAAAAGTTAATGAACGAAACTAGTCAAAGGAAGATCTGTCCTCGCCGCTCACAGCTGAGATTCTGCTAATGCTTTTAAAGCTCTAACCGTTCGTGAATTTTGTAAGTGCATTTGTGTATTTTTAACAATTAAACATTTTGAGTTACTGCACTTAGAGGGTCCCGCCTCCTTTCTCCATTTTTTTTCCTGGGAGATATCAACAGGTTTACGCCGCCAGTCGGGTGGTGAGTCCCCAGAAAAATCGGTATGAGAGGAGAAAATTACGTCTGATCGTTGGATTTGGAGAGTTAAGAGTGCGACGGATCACTGAATTTTCAGGACTCCCCAGACTCTCTGGGCCATCGATTGGTTGGATACGTTTTTCTTGGACACTTGTCTAGGGAGTGAATGGATTAACCACCCAGGCAGCACTGAAAAAAGGAAAGTAACCGCTTTAACCTCATCTCATGCATACTACCTAATCTTTGAAAGGACTGCTTGCTATACTTGCATGTAGGGCCCAGGACAGGAGGAAGAGGTCCCGGGACTGACATTAGCGGTTACCGGGATAATAAATATCCTGTTAATCATCGGTTACCAGGGGCCCCTTCCTCCTGTCCTAGGCCCCCTCCAAATGGCGGAAATCCAGGGCCCGCTCGCAGCCGCGACCTCTGCGACCCTGGTAGTTCCTCCACTGTTAAGTATCTATTTTAAAGGAGCGTTTTACATTGTAAAAGTGGTTAACTTTGATAAAAAAATAATATATGCACGCATCTTCATAAAAGGTGCATTTATTCTTTTTATGCATTGTAGCCTGTAAAGCATTGCAACCACTGACTCCTTTTTGAAAAAGTTAATGAACGAAACTAGTCAAAGGAAGATCTGTCCTCGCCGCTCACAGCTGAGATTCTGCTAACGCTTTTAAAGCTCTAACAGTTCGTGAATTTTGTAAGTGCATTTGTGTATTTTTAACAATTAAACATTTTGAGTTACTGCACTTAGAGGGTCCCGCCTCCTTTCTCCATTTTTTTTCCTGGGAGATATCAACAGGTTTACGCCGCCAGTCGGGTGGTGAGTCCCCAGAAAAATCGGTATGAGAGGAGAAAATTACGTCTGATCGTTGGATTTGGAGAGTTAAGAGTGCGACGGATCACTGAATTTTCAGGACTCCCCAGACTCTCTGGGCCATCGATTGGTTGGATACGTTTTTCTTGGACACTTGTCTAGGGAGTGAATGGATTAACCACCCAGGCAGCACTGAAAAAAGGAAAGTAACCGCTTTAACCTCATCTCATGCATACTACCTAATCTTTGAAAGGACTGCTTGCTATACTGTTACTATCATTCTGGATATTTAACCCTCTATATTCAGAAAAGAATCATAGCGCACGGTATATTTATTATAGGTGTAATATGACACTATATAGGTGTGTGTATAATATTTAGATTTTCACCACGTTGTTTTTTGGTTTTTTTTGTGATTAGGATACTTCAACTGTTTTCTGCTCACCGTATTGATGTCACTTATGGCGATTTTATGATATTGGTCACCCATACACGTATTACAAAAAAGTTTCCAGATTTATGGTTATAACACTAGAGTGCTCTTTTGGCTACTTTGGGTACGTTTAACATAAATGAACGCTCAATGACACACTGGGCTGTGATTGATACTTTCACCATTTATTTTCGTTACATTTCACTGTCACATGCCGAGATATTGATTTCCGGTAATTGTACACTGTATTTTTTTCCTCTTTAAACTAAGAGATTGTTCATCACAAATATTGAATTAACATCCACTCAGACCGAGCGCAACTTATTTGCTACACAATTATATTCACTTTTACACATTGTTGCGGTTGGTCTAATTAGCTATTTAGATACTCACTCCTAGCGCAGTGATTTTTGTATTACTAACCACAATCAGTGGATCGCGGGTGCAATGCTTCTAGCTCCTACAAATTTTAACCTCCTGTCTATGACCATACCAAGGTGCAAACATTCAGTAACACGAACAGGAGGAAGAATGAATGGACTACAAGTGGTGACTTCCCCGCCCACACAGCCCTGCAGTATTAAAAAATCCAGCCTGCAAGGAGAAGAACCCCAAGTATCAGGTGGGGGGAGGTTTTTAGCAGCTGGAGGTTTCTGGAAGGGTTGTGATGTGACCATGTTTCATGTTGCACCCTGAATATAGGTGTAACATGAAACATGGTCCAAAAGGTAAACATAGCCTTTAATGGTTATGTTTAGGGATAGATTTGGGTTAAGGGTCTCATCTAGCCAATCCTAAATTTAGAAAATCCTATGAGATGACAAAGCCAGATGGGTGACCTGACTTTTCTCTTCTGCAATTAAGTAATAAAAATGTGGTCACTTTCTCACTACCTGCTTTTAATTAGACAATGGAAGGGCAGCAGCAAACAGATGAGGTCATCTCACATCTCTCTCCTCTCTCTAGCTCTGTTAGAATGTTCCATGTCAACACATTTGGTTATTATTACTGTGTCTTCTTCTCCCAGTCCAAGTGCTGCTGTGCAAGTGAGTACAGGAGGCTGATACCAGCATAAATTCATATAAAAATAAAAAAAATGTTTTATCATTTTTATTGAATGCCTGACATTTAATGTTGTTTTTAAAACTACTTGGGGTACAGCTTAAAGCAGTATTAAAGTCTGGCTGTTTGTTATCCTAATGCATTCCCCCCCTAATTCTCTTCATTAGGGTAAAAACCACCCAGTACCTTTTTCTCTCCCTTGTCCTCCCCCCACACTTACCTGTGTCATTGCTGTCACCACCACCGGTCCCCGAAGCAATCCTCCTTTCCCCAAACTTCCTGGATGCGGGGGAAAGATACTGAGGGCATTGGAGCCCTCAATCAAACTGTTGGCTAGAGAGGAGGGACGTGCCCTACCGCCGGGTGTGTGTGTCTATGGACGCACACAGCTACTGTGGGCACTACCGGGAATGAGCACGGGTGCCTCCACAGCAGCTGCTTAGCTGATGGAGGCACCCATGCAGGGGGTGGGAATCAGAGCGATGCAGTGACCCACTAGAAAACGCGGAACTGAAAACTTTTGAAGAAGAAGAACAGAAGTTTTATACAAAGGTAGGCCTCCTAGTTGTAAATATAAAAAAAAAAACCCCAAAGCATTAAAGGAGAACTATGAGGTGAGTGATTTTCACTCAGCCTCATAGTTAGAGCCGACGTGTGACAATGAAACTGTCACAAGTCGGCTCAATAGATCGGGAACATACAGAACATACCGTCGCTTCTCGCGGACTGGCGGAATGAAGGGGGAGTGGGCGGGTACAGCTGGCTCTACTTCTAGATAGGCAGAGTCAGCTGTCAATAACGCAGCTGGGTGGATCTCGACAGTAATGTCGGGATACGTCCCGGCTGCGGGGGTCTCAGTATACCGCGAGCTGTAGCCCGTGATATACTGAGCTTTGGGTCACGGGAGGATGCTAGTTCATGTCCTCCTGTGACCCTTAGGAGAACTATGGGGAAAAACACTTACCCCATAGTTCTCCTTTTAATATCACTATATCTAAACCCTAACTGGATGACATTTAGTTTGCAAAAGAACTACTTGCTTCAGCTCTGAGGAAGGGGGTGTGTCCCCAAAACCGCACTAAGCATTAGCAGTGGAACTCTATGAGGAGAACAGAGTCTCCTGAGTGTCTCCTTGATCTCTGTGTATGTCACATCCACAGCAGCTATTCAATCAAGGACTGTCAGTCCATTTTGATGCTTTATATACTGCCTTATTTGTGAGTATATTTTTGTTTACTCTTTTATTGAATAAAAATATATATTTCCTCATATTTCACATTGCTTACAAAAATCTGAAATCTGATAAGAAACTGTGGCATACTGTCCTTTGCATACAACCGTTGCATTTGAACTACTCTTATAAAGTTTGATAAGGCTCTCATACATCCCAACAAAAAAAGACAATGTATGAATTATTTGTCAAAACTTTATTCCATCCAGTCCTTGTCCACAAACATTCAAGAGCCATCCCATATCTTTCTGGGCCCAAGAAATGGAAGGTAAAGGAACCGTAATGGGGTCTGCATCATCTCCTCACAATGCACATCCACTGACGAAACTGCTCACATCCTTGTTCTTACAGTAATTGTTCCAGGCCACCCTTTGAAGATTAATAAATAAGATGAAGTTACAATTAATAAGTGATACAACTATACAAATCAAAACTTAATATACTCCTCTTATTAAACTTTCTTCAGCTATAATATAGACACAAAAACGATGTGTTCTACATTTTAATTTCTCTAACATGCATTTCTTTGAAATACAATTTCATAAACAGCCATTGTTTATTAGGCACTTAGTGGATGGAAAGATAGTAGCTCTCCCCCCGAGTGGGATCACCTATACATATGGGAATCTACATAAACAGACACATGAGACAGCAACTCCATTTCTAAACTAGAGCTGGTGAATGGATTGCGGTCATTGAGCTTCAGACATGACCTAGCATAGTTTAAAAAAAAGGTGTGGTTGTCAGAAAGGCAGGACTTAACATCCCTAAAACTATAGGGCTGTTGAGGCTTTTGGTATAGCATGCGTAAAAACACAAGACACATCATCAATGTAAACAATCCTAGTTTTCTGGACCATATTGCATCAGAATACTAAAGGCATGAGCTACTGACTGGATTTTATAGTTGTGTGCAAGAAAAAAAAAATCACCCTGTCCATTCATTACATCCCCACCAAAATCCATAAGAAATTCAGTATAAGCATTAGGCGAGCCAGCCTTTAAATGAGCCTTTGACATTGTTTATTACCATCAGTAAAAGGTTTAAATAATAGGGTACGTACCAAGCTCCCATGCCATTGGGGTCACGGACAACTCTCTTGGCACAGTTGATGTCATCAATAATGTCATCATTCATCAAACCTTGAATGGAATAATATGATATGTTGTAATATTGGTTAAAGCATAATTTCATAAAATGTTACAGGAATAGTAAGGGGAGGACTGATGTATGCAATCAGTTTAGTCATTGCTGTATATGCCCAAATGCTGGTATTCCCACAGACTAGAGTTGGACCCAACTTGCAGAAGCATTTGCAGAACGTTTGCTAAATACAACAAAGACCTCTGCTTTTAATAAAATGTTAGAAGTAGGTTTTAACTAGGTCTCCACTGTCTTTTAGCATGTTGAAGACTAGGGAATTGATTGCATTAAAATTATTATAATTTATAGAGGTTATTTGCATTGAACATATTTAAAATGTAGATGGTTTCAGCTGAATTTACATCCAGTAATCCCACAGAAGAAAGCAATGTAACATTAGCGCTGAAATGCAAGCACTGCCTGGGTCCTGTGCCATTAGTGTTTCAAACTGTTCTCTGTGTAAACCAGGCTGCACCTTCAATAGGGGCCCTAAAGTTCGGCACACTGCCTCCATTCCACTATCCAATGGGGCAGTTCTCTATTGGCTGTCTAGACTTCCTATTGGAAAATAAACAGTGGGGGGAATGTGGTAAAGCTCCCCGAATTAGGGAAAGTTAAGGGTCTTGACTACAACCCAGACCATACAATGAACAGCTGAGGGAGAACTAAAGAAATAGGCTACTTTTTTAAATCCCAAATGGGTTTGTTTTAATAACTATACAGATACGCTTTTACATGCAGTGCAATGCTGTAAATCCTTTTAGAAGCTATTACTCATAATTTATATGATGTCAGGTTTTTTTTGTATAGAACGCCTGCCAATTGTCATGACCACAGTACCACACTTTAGCATTATTTATATTCAGTTTGTGTGTGTGTTTTGATAGGGTCATTCCTGTTCATACAGTATATAAACACTGGTTACACAAGATGTCTTAAGGAGTTACTCACTGTTGCAGCTGATGCTGCAGGCCATCACTGCTCCAGAGGTCTTGCCGTCATTACACCACCAGTAGCTGTTGATTTGAAAGATTCCATAGTCGCGGCTCCAGCCATTGTCATACATGGCATTGGTGGTGTAGCGGCTCTCATAGTAAGACAAGCACATCCCTAAGAGTAAAAAGAATATTACACAAAACTGTACTTTCACCTTTGTGTAGATAGTCAAGCACAATAGAAATCTGACTAATACTGTTAATGTAGTTACATTTATCTTCTTATGTTTGCAATAGAGTTGCCCAGTTTGGCTACTTATAGCAGCCCAAAAAGCTCATTGTTTATTGATACTGTTTTTTTTAAATGTTAAAACAATCTTTGTCTATAATTCTTTATGGAAAATGATAAATCTTGTGACCCCATTTCATCCTCCTTTTTCTCTTCGTCATAGTGGATGACATATAATGAAATAATATTTTATGGAACTACTATAATCTAGTCATGATTGGTCTTATACAAGGATCTGAATATTCCATCTAAAAGGAAACCTTTTCTTAAATAAACATGGAAGCTGCAAATTGACTTACCATTCAAAGCTATCTGTCTGGTTGTCATAATGACGCTCATTCAATATTTGATTCACTAACCAAAGCAAGTGTACAGATAAGGACTTTTGTTATTTAAAAAATCTTAGCAATGACCTGAATACTCATTCTGAGTCAGTGACTCTAAGGGGGTGATTTACTAACCTAAACACACGCACGCACTAGGTGCGTGTGATTTTTACACAGCAAAGCGTATTTATCAACCAAAAAGTCTCTAAAAGCATATTTCCACTAATGCCATATATGGAAAAATCATGCACATGATGCATATATAATGCTGCTTTACAGTTTAGACAAAAATGGTTAGCTTATGCATTTACATTCCTGCATTCATCAACACAAGCAACACAATGTAGAGCTAATTTACACAACATCACTTTGCAATTCATGGAGGGCTTTGCACAACACACCTGCTGGGTGTGTACACTACAAAGGTGTCTAGATTCCACCAATAGATCATGCTGGGAGGGAACACACTACAGAGGTGTATACTTGTTTGTGGCGTGTTTATAAGGTTAGTAAATCAACCCCAAAGTATTGAAACCAGAGAATCAGCATAGCAAGCAGGCAATTAGCAATTTGTGAAGGATGTCAGCAATGGCAGCCCCCATATTACCATAGGATAACTTATAAATAGCAAGCTCAGAACCTCAATATAATTCCTACAAGAAATATTGCATAGACTTTTAGGCAATGCCAAGAGAACAATCATGTATGCTATTGTCCTTTCTAACATACAAGCAGTGTCTGAAAACCATTTTTTAACATGTTAGCCATTTACGACAGTCTTGTTACATATAAACTGTAATAGTGAATTGCAGGTAGGGTTGGCTATACTTCTACTAAAAAGTATCAAAACATTTGTGATTAAAAAATATTTCCCTCAAGCTGGCCCTACTTTTTATGCTGATTAAGATTACATTGCCACTGTTAAAGCATATATATTTAACCACACTTACTAACAGCATGCCACATCCACTACATACTGATGTACATTGCTATAAGGTGGGTCATTGCTCCCCTTTTTTTTTTTTGGAGGGCCCCAGGTGCCCAATCTGACACTGTCTCACAGAGTGTCTTCGAAATGCTCAGAGGCCATAAAGTGTCCAATAACAGAACCCTGTAGCTGTCTTTACTCCTCTTAACGACATGTCTCTATTATGTGTTACTGTTATGCAAGTTCGGAAGCTGGGACGAAGCATAGGCAGCTGCCAGGTGACTTCCCAAGCTTTCGAATAATTTGTGTCTGAATATTCAAATTCTTGCATAAGGCCAACTGTGCCTGATTCTCTTTAATTTGAGGTTCAAACATTTCTAGGAAGACAGGTCAAGGAAATGCTTGTAGGTGACTAGAATATTACGGTGTCCAGAAATTACCCAATCATAGCTAGAAATGTGCCATGCCTAGCTTGCGATAATAGAGCCATTCCTAAACTACATGCATGCAATAATGAAGCCTCTGTCGGAAATCATTTCAAATTTGCTGTAAATCTAATGTCAGCAGTCAAAGGGGGGGGAATCCAAGGCATAGATAAAGGCTGTAGCAGATTCAAAGAAGCGGTAGCTGGTCCATACGTACAGTTAGCCAAGCTGTAGCCATAGTATCCATCCAAACCGTTGGCTTTCAGGGCCTTGGCCAGCTCACATTTTGTGAACACTTTGGCCTCACTGGCAGCAAAGAGAGCAAGGAAGAGGAGACAGAAGGCAGCCTTCATTCTGACAGTCACTGGACTCGTGTTTGTAGCCTGAACAGGAGCAACATTGACTGGGCACAGCCAGATATATATATATGTATATATGTATGTGTCTGTGGGCTTGTTTACACAGATATAATGGTCACACATAATCAACCATTAACCTGCATTACATAAACACATTATGGATACTGATTGGAATTGCTGGTTATATAAACATGACCTTGTCTCAGAAGAAAATGTATCAGCTGCTCTTAGGTAATCATAACTTTTTCCTAGACTACTGGATGTCCCTTGAGCTCCCTGGTTGAACTACATATCAAATATAATTATAATTTAATATCTAAAAAATTTAAATTAGTGCTTAGTAGCATTTATAGCCTTAGTGCTTAGTAGCTCTTATTTTATATCCTTAGTGCTTAGTAGCTCTTATTTTATATTTCACTCACTGGCACTGATCACTTTATTGTTTTATAATTATAATTCAAAACCAAAGATTTTTTGTATAAGGCAGAGGTGGGCTAGCAAAAAAAGATACAAAGAGCACTTAGCATTCCGCTCCACCCAAAATAAGGATGTCAATATTGTAGCCGATTCTGTGTCTGTCACAAAGGCCTTCTGAATTCAACATAACATTTGTCAGATCATGATCCAAGTCCCACACGCTTGACTACAGCTTAGTGCTCCTGGTAAGGACTTGGGATTTCTTCAACACTTTAAAAAAAAAAAACCCCAAAGAGCACTGGCCCCATGAAGTTTAAAAAGAACTATGGGTTAACTAAAAACCTACCCTTGTAGTGGGGCTACCCCCTCCCCTGCAAGGGTTAAATAATTGTTTTGTCTAGGGGACTCAAAAAAGCAGATTTACTGATCTAATCCTCTGCCCCACCAGGCTGCTAGACCGGTCCCAGCAGCCCCTTCTCCCCTGGCCTGTGATGGTCTATGGACCGTTGATATAATCACGTCTTATGCAGGTCCATTGACATAGAAGGAGCAGAGAGGGAGAGAGGTGAGCGCTGACTGCCGTAGGATAGAGAGGCAGACGAGTAAAACTGCTTTATTTGAGCCTCGTAGACAAAACAAGCACTTAACTCATGCAGTGTGGGAGTAGCCCCACTGCACAGGTAGGTTTTTATTCTACCTGGAATTCTTCTTTAAGACACTTAAAAAAAAAGATAAAAATTCACTCACAAGCGATAGGACATTAAAGCCCATCTCATCTCAAACAGATGGTGTGTTCATATGTCAGTTCTAATCATCTGATGGCGGTCCTTTGAATTTGTTGAAACTGATGCCATAATTTATATAGTGACGAGCTTGAATCTATTGCACGTGAGTGAATTTGTAACTGTTTTATTAAAATCAATTAAAGGAGATCTATGGTGGAGTGAATTATACTCATCCCCATAGTTAGAGCAGATAGCCCCACTATATACTGGGTTTTGGGTCACGGGAGGATGTTAGTATATATCCTCCTGCCGTGACCCTAAAGAGAACTATTGGAAAAAAGGTTACCCCATAGTTCTCTTTTAAATACTTCATGACGCCAGTGTGCTCTGGTATTTGTATTATTCAGTGGAGGAGGGCTAGCAACTCTGGTAGGTTTTTATCTCCATCAGGACCGGAAGTAATGGGAAATCTCTCCATCAGGGTCACACAATTTTTTCTAGCACAGTGACGAAGGGTTAGATTTTGACTGGCACTGTTTTTATTGTTGTCTATGCCTTTCCTGGTGACAACAGAACTCTGTGTTTTGTCCAGGTGTCACAGGCACAGGAAGTGAGGAAAAAGTTCTCACGAAGGGATAGAACCCTACATAAAAGTTTACCTCTTCTCCAACCTAACTAAAGCTTTACAAAAATGGCTGGTGTTAGGCTTTAAAGGTATGCTCCCACAGAACATAAACATTTTGCATCTAAAGTCACTCTCAAAGTCAAAGGATAGAGTCTGCTGCTCCACAAGCTAAGGGGTTGATTTATAAATCTTCTGCCCAGTGTATAGCTGGGCAAATGCCATTTGTACGCACTACTGCCACAAGATGGAGCCGAGGATCATAGAAAATGTATATGCCCCTCAGTGTCATCTAGTGTCTGTAGAGGAGCTGTACGCTGGGCAGTAGATTTATATATCAGCCCCTTGGTGTCAGTGGTTTCTGAAATCCTTATCTTATCAACAGCCCTGTGAAAAATACCGGCCCAAGTTTCCCAAACTCACTCTGTAGTTTTCAGAGAGGAAGGCACCTCAGCTCATAATCCTGGGACAAGAGACAACATTCCTGCCTACAAGCACTGTGCAAAGCCTAAGTACACAGTGAATGACATATAACTCAGATTATCAAAAACTAGAAAAAAGACCGTTTATGCTGAAGTTCTGCTGTAAATAAAAAGCTGTAAATCTGGCTATAAGTAAATACCCAAGACTAATAGACTGATACAAATGACATTACATTTCATCTAATATCTATAGCTGTTTAATTAGTATTTAAAAGTTCATTACATACTTGGAAATATTCCAAAAGCTGGCCATCACTCCATTGCTGAATGAACAGGTATCCATGTCCAGTCCAGCAATTTTGACCTGTTTACACACAGCAGTGGCTGGTGTTTTTCTTCACTGATCCACACAGTCACCGGTAGGGCACATAGAAAACAGTTCTAGGTGCCCCGTTCACAGCAGAATGCAAGGCACCGTGGCTCACCGCTGCTACTTAGCGAACACTAGTCACACAGTAAAACGTAGCTTAGACTTTATTACGGTTCCCATTGTCTCCCCAGAATACCTGTTCCCGTATTTCTTGTTTTGGCATCACAGGGAGAGGAATCAGGGCACAGTACTCTGTAAGAGCCATGATTGGGCAAAGTCATGATGACTTTGCCCAATCATGGCTCACCTGTCAGATGCCGTACAACTGTAAACAGTTGGGTGGAGCTAGCTAGCTGTCACCGCTAGCTCTGCCCAATTGGTTATATTTTGCCTGCATCTGTCAAAATGCCATTCTGCGGTGGGAGTTCGTCGCGAGTGGGCAGGTCAGCAGGCGTCATGGTTTTTTAAAATTAATTCTATTTATTCTTGGTTTATTTTTTATTTCGTCGAGTTGTCGTTGTCGACAACTCTGGACGTCGTGATTGACCCTGGATTACGTTGGTGAATCCATTTTTTGGTTGTTTTTTTTTTTTATAAAAGACTTGTCAAAAACTTGTCTTTTCGTCTCTTGTTTATTTATTTTTTTCAATTAAAGGATTTTTTCAAAAGTCTGGGCTCTTTTTTAAAACTTTAATTTAAGCCTTTAGCAAATGGGTAGGGGTACCCCTTACTCATTCACAATGGGGGGGCCTGTATTTGGGTGGCTCTTTATTAAAGGGGTACCCTGATGTGAATAATCCCTCTGCCCGCACCCCCACAACCAATGCCCCAGGGCTTGTGGGGAAGAGGCCCTTGTGCCCATTGGCACAGAGACAAGGTGCTTTTCCAGGGGCGACCCTGGAAAAGCACCCTACCAGTGCCGAGGGCATGTGGCCTGGTATGGGATGGAGGGGGGGCGTCCCCCCCCTTTCCTGCCCTCCTAGGCCTGTGCTCGGATCAAGAGTCTGGTATGGAATTTTAGGAGGGACCCCACTTTTCCCCCGCCCCATTTTTGGGGGTGGGATTCCTCCTTAAAATTCCTACCAGACCTTAAGGGCCTAGTATGACTTTGAGGGGGAACCCCACTTTTTTTTCCTTTGTAAATGGAATTTTCTTTATAAATGTCATTTTTGCTGCAGCAGGTATAGATCATACAGATCCGCCAATTTACAGGAGGTTTAACCCCCAGGCACGATATTTAAAGAAATTTTTCATTTTTATTGTTTCACTTTAAGTGATGTTAAAATCACTGATCCTTTAAACACGGTATCTTTTTTAAAGTTTTTTTTTTTCATTCATACATACATACAGGGCAATACCCAAATCCCCATGAACTTTTTATGGCCAATAACTTGCATATACGCCTTCAAGAAGGGGACAATTGATTTTCAATGTTCTAGCCCCATGGACTTGCATTGAGTTCGAATTCAAACTTTTTCCATGTTCTAAAGTTCGCATTCGAACCAAATCGGCCCATCAATAGTTACAAGAACTGAATGTGTCAGTGGGAAAACCGCGGTTGACATTATTGCCTATAACTGAGGTAATTTCAGATCATGGTGGGATGGTTGCCAGGAGCAATGACAGAAGAACTGAGATGGACAATAGTGAGGAAGTAGTTGACAGGCGATCAACTTTGACCGAAGACTCTGGGCTGGACCAAAATGAAAGGGTTCAAAATGGCATTGAGAATGACAGTGCTGAGCATGTCAGGGGTGAGACTGCTGATGAGGTGGTAGCACATGACTGTAGAGACATTAAGGACATGACCAGCAGGAATACTGAAGGGGTTAATATAGAAATGGATGTAAATTAGTGGTATCAGGGAAGAGACGGCTGGTACAGAAACTGAGTGCATCCTCAATGAGACTGTTCATGAACATAGTGAGGTTAATCATAAAGAGACTATTAACCAGGTGACCTTGAGTGATGTTACAGAGACTGTAATTGATGATATATTGAGAGATTACACAAAAACTAACTTCAGTAGGTGGATGATGACAGTATAGAGGTGGCTATTGTCTGTGCTTCAGAAATAGGGAGTCTGTTGCAGAAGATGCTCATACTGACTCCAAAGATGTTCTTGAATTTGAGACAGATCCTAGTGATATGCAGACTGTTAGCTGTAAAGAAACATTACGTGCAACCCCAACTATTGACCACGCAGATATATTTAGCTTTGTAGACACAACTGAACAGGGTAGAAACACCCAGAACATGGATGAGAGTTCTGTAGAGAGGAAGACTGCTGTGACCCCCTTTAAACAAGGAAATGTCGCTCGTCGAAGTACAGATGTAAAAAGGCAGGACATCTCCAAACGAAGGGTCTAGCTTTGTGTGTCCAATCCTCTGGAACGGGGGGGAGGGGGGTTATAAGGCAGTGGCAATGTGTAATTTGG